AGTTTATTTTTCTAGCTGATTAATGAGTTAATGGTTACCGAATATGTTTTTTTTAAGGTAAATGTGACCTTACGTGACATTGTTTATAAGCTGTTATATTGACGTCTTTGCGCGGCTGAAACACTGATTGAGAGATTACATGAGACAGGATAAGGATTGTAAAGTTGTACCCTATCTTTTAACTTACCTTCGGATGTTTAGTCATGTTTATTTTGTGCTGAAACTGGTATTAATGTGGAGGAGATGATTAGTTCAGGTGCGCCTCGCGCTGCTGCGTCTGTTCATCTGAGGCACTACCACGATCTGCCACTCCACATTAAACAGCACCAAAACGGCATTTATTGTTTGAATACTGCAATACAATGGACAGAATTTGAAATCTGAGACTTTGTTTCATATTAAAAGTACCAAAGCACAATGCTTATTGCGATTTATTGGATGGGAGGTGCCCTTCAACGTTTCGTCCATTAACTGACAACAGGCTAGACTAATCGATTGTTGGGATTTAAGAATCGATATTGTTCCGTAAAAATGAGAATCGATTAAAATCGAGATATCGATATTTTTTACCCAGCCCTAAATAATATGTAATAATAATAATATGTAATAAATGTAATAATATTTCACAATATGACAAAAAAATGTCTGTATTTACAATCAAATAAATGAAGCCTTTTTCTTCTTTCAGAAACATTTAAAAATCGTACTGACCCCAAACTTTTGAACAGCAGTGTTATATTTTAGAACAAAACTAGATTTCCATTTTCTACAGATATTTCCATAACTTTTTAAGATTTTCAAAATTTCCATTACTTTTCCATGGATGAAAAATCACAATTTTACAATTCTATACTTTTTCAGGTCTTCTATGACCACAGAAACCTTATTCATTCATTCATTCATTCATTCATTCATGTTGTCCTGTTGTATGAATGGAGTCTCGTGTCCTGTGGTTTCGCTCAGCCTCAGCTGTCATAGCATAACCACTGTGTTTGATAACCACAATCCACTCTGGCTGGCTCATCAGCCATGTTCAGATCGGTTGCTAGGCAACACACTCAAACTGTCAGTTTCTAAATATGGGACGAGCCAGTCTGTCATCAAAAACAAATCAAGTCCAGCATGTGGTCACTCACGACTTACAGAAAAACAAGACAGAGACCCTGCACTGTTAATGATCTCCCCCCCCCCCA